TAAGTCTTTCAGCTCCTTGGTCAGGTTTATTCTTAGGTATTTTATTTCATTTTTGGTGCTATTTTAATAGGTACAGTTTGTTTTACATTCCCTCTCTTATGTTTCATTGCTAGTGTAAAGAAATGCAACCAATTTTTGAATGTTAATCTTGGATCCTGCTACTTTGGTGAATTCATTTATTAGATCTAGTAGATATGTGTGGAGTCTCTACGGTTTTCTGTATATAGTATCATGTCATCTGCATATGGTGACAATTTTACCTCTTCCCTTCCAATTTGGATACATTTTATTTCTTTTTATTGCCTCAATGCTGTGGCTAGGACTTCCAGGACTATGTTGAACCTAAGTGGTGAGAATGGGCATCCTTGTCTTGTTCCAGATTTTAGTTGGAAAGCTTTCAGCTTTTCACCGTTGAGTGTTCTATTGGCTATGGGTTTGTCATAAACAGCTTTTGAGTATGTTCTCTCTATACACACTTTGGTAAGAGTTTTTATCACGAATGGATGGTGAGTTTTATCAAATGCTTCTGCAACTACTGAGATGATCATATGGCTTTTGTCTTTTATTTGTGTGGTGCATTACATTCATTGATTTGCCTATGTTGAACCATCCTTGTGACCCTGGGGTGAATCCAACGTGATCATGATGTATGATCCTTTTCCATGTGTTGTTGGATTTGGTTTGCTACTATTTTGTTGAGAATTTTTGCATGTATGTTCATCATCGATATTGGCCTATAACTCTCTTTTTGTTGTAGTGTCTTAGTCTGATTTTGGTATTAGGGTGATGGTGGCCTCAGTCTGTGTGTCCTTTGACCTACAGTGGGTCTCTTGTAGGCAGCATATTGTACACTCTTGTCTTTTCATTGGAACATTTAGTCCGTTGATGCTTAAGGGAGTTATTGACAGATATGTATTTATTGCCACTTTAAACATTTTCCAGTTCAGTTTGTATTTCCTCTTTTTCCTATTGTGGCTTGATGGTTTCCTTTTGTATTATGCTTATGTTCTTTTCTATTTGGTTTGTGACTCTTTGGTTTTTGTGAATCTTCTGTATATTTTTGATTTGTGATCACTTGTTTTACGTGGTTAGTCATATAGGCTCAAGCACATTCTTTTAAAAAAAATCTACATCTTCTTACTCTCTCCCCCCACATTTTAGGATTTTGCTGTCCTTGTTTACATCTCCACGTTTATCCTTTTGCTGTTCATTGTGATTATCATCAGTCATAAATCTTTTTAAAGTATCTGTATACTAGCTTATTTAAGTGATTTACTTTCCCATTGTGATTTTTCTTTCCTATAGATTCCTGCTGCTTCTTTATTTGGAGAAGACCTTTCAATATTTCTTTTAGGATACGTTTGGTTTTGCCGTATTCTTTTAGTTTTTGCTTATCTGAGAAATTCTCTCTCTCTTCTATTCTAAATGATAATCTTGCT